CGATCATGTGACTTTCATACTTTATGAAATGTCTCACTTTGATTCATGTAAATAGCGAAAGTCAGAGTCTTCCTTAGGAACCTCCTTCTCTCTTCGTAGACAATCACTTTACCCAAGTCGCACCCGACCTTGTTCGTGCACTTGTACCGTCACAGTTGTACTGTTACCTACATGACTTCAACAGAACACCATTTTGGTTCACTCTGTTCCAGTGTCCGCATGAAGGTAGAATGATCCTTCCTCAACCTCGCAGGCTATGTCGAATCGTACGAGTTTCGGGTACACAGCTTTCCTCGCCGCGGCTCGTGCCAGGGCGCCCAACGACGGACTATTCTAAAGGTGACGTTTATGGGGTATGTGGTCCGGTGATCTTACCTGGGCGAGCTGCTTCCCGGGCGCGCACTGAGACTGGGTGCTTGCTCCCTACTCTGCTGCAGCTTTGCGATGCAACTCAACTCGGGGGGGGGGGCAGGAGAAGCGATGCTCGTGGAGGAAGAGGGAGGGGCTGGTGACCAGACCAGTGAGAGGGAAGAGAGTGTGGAGAGTGGAAAAGGGACAAGGGGGGCTGTTGGCATTGCCGGCTTGTCCCCGGCTTGTCCCCGGCTTGTCCCCAGCTTGTCCCCAGCTTGTCCCTTACCGCCCACGACTCTCAAGGTGGGTGGAAGGGCTGCGCCTTGGGAAGGAGGCACTGATACGTCACAGTGATGACTTCGGCAAAGCTGGCCCCCGTCTTCCTCTTCTCGTTACTCAATAGCTGAGGGCATGGGGGGCTCAGATTGTCTATAAATGGGTCACGGATTCCCATTCCCGGATTCTCACCATCTAACACTTTTCTTCCATATCTTTGTTTCCTACGTGACCACTGTGAAGATGGACCGGATAACTCTGAAGAAGACATACCGCTGGCCCTCTCCGAGTCAAGGTCACTCATCCCACCATTCTGCAGTCACGTGGAACTTCCCGTCCTCGACCCCGTCTCCCTCGCCGTCCAGTTCAAGGAGCTGCAACTCTGGCTCCAGCAGCAAATCAGGAAGCACAAGTGAACCCATTCAGACCATCTCGGAGCCTGATGAAACCCCCGACGTCAAGTTTGGCGTTCCCGTTGTCAATTCGACGGGCCCAGAGACATTGATGCAGGGGACAACCTCATGCCCAGGGTGGTTTTCCATACATGGAAAGGCCTGCAATCGATAATCGGTATCGGCCCCACATTTATTGCAAGTATTGCAATACACCTTTCCATACTTGGTCCGTGCACGACGACAAAATGTCACTGAAGACACCTTCGACAAGATGGACAAATTCACACCATATGGTGAATTAAAAATACGAAGTAATTGATTGAGCTCAATGATAATGTCCAAAAAGAGAGGGTAGGCAAATCTTACGTGTTTTGTTCCAAGACGAGGAGGGAAATCAGACGGGGAATTTGCACGAATTCTCACGCCACGGTCACGCCACCGCCCCTTCCCTCTTCAAGACATTGTTCTTCACCCAATGCTTCAACCAATTCTCCCTTTTCAATTTGGTCCGCATCCAATTGTGCCCTTTCCCAGGAGATCGTACGACGAGCCCCTGAAAACACCCGTTCCGGCTCGTCGCTCATCGCTGGCATTGATAGGATGTCTATTGCCATTCGTGATAACTTCGGCCGTCGGTTCCTATGTCGCTCTTGAAGCCACCATGATAAAGCAGTTGTTGGCGCAATCTCATATGGATCACCTGAGATGTAATCTTCATACTCGTCTTGACTTGTAGGTCGAGCACAATTCTGCAGATTTCTTGAAATACGATCAAATGCATCAAGGCCATTGTCTTCTTCTTCGTCCAGTACATGATACGAAATTGTACCGTCGTTTGTATTTCGGTAAGAGTAGCAAAGGTCTTTGACCCGTTTGAAAGCAGTTTTATGCCACTTCTTCTAATTTGAGTGGATGTACGTCGTGCGATAGCTTGGATGAAGGACCAAAGAAGCGGCGTAATAGGGCGAATTCTCTTTATTGATAATTTCTTGGTCAAGGTAGCCTTTGAAGACACGGCCCAGATCCCACGCTTGCCCGTAGAGTTGATCAAATCCTTCGATGATGGACGGTTGAAGAGGAGATAAATTCTCTGCGACGTTGATGACATACTTTCTTGCCCTCAGGGTGTTTTCGAAAGCTGGCGGTGACAGAAGTACTGTAGGGATCATTCTGGGGACAATAAAGATAATATATGAGGCGGTTCCTGCCTTTGAACTCCGCTTCCCCTAACCCTTTTACTACCGGTACATTACTGCCAGATGAGCATGTTTTCATGATCCAAAAGCAGGTTTTTCTCTTGTCTTGGGAGATATAGACGCGAATGAATCCGAAGCAATGGATTCAGAATCGAAGAAACATAACTAACACAGGCTCAGAATCCATTGTCGCCAGGTGATAATGGTATGCTGTGGGTTGGTGGTGAGGCTGATTTTGTGGATGTGCGGATTTGTAGCGGGGGTTCCAGGCCCACAGCCCCTGTAGGTAGCCCCCTGTAGGAACCCTTGTTAGTGGCGTGGTTCAGCCAATAGTATGGAAATACATGGATCCATATCCATACCTATTCCATGCCATTCATGGAAAGGGTATTTCCATATTTAGATATGGAAAACCACCCTGCTCATGCCTCGCGCAATCCCCAGCACCTACCATAGGCCCAACAATGGACGCCAACCGTCTTCAGTCTCTTTCCTCAGAGTGCGAAAGGGTCGTCAGTGAGCAAACTAAGACACATCAGCGTAGCGTTTTGGCAAATCAAGGTATTATGAGTTCTCTCGCAGACAACCTGCACTTGCAGTTCTTACAGTATTTTGCAGAGAACGTAATGATCGAGCCTGAGTGCCCATCACACGTGCAGCAGGTGCTTCCCGAAGCGATCACAGTTTGTAAAAAGTCCGAGGTAACCAAGCCGCGCCGAAGCAGGCGTAAGAGGAAGTCTGCGCCACGCGCTGCTGCTTCTGTTTCGTATCGTGTTCAAAAGAAGCGCATTGCGACTTGCACCACTCAGGAATACGACTTTTTACGCTTGGGGGAGGTACGAAAGGCATGGAACGGATCCATCGAATATAAGGTCATTTGGAAGCCAACCTGGGCGTCTACTGACGATCTCCGGGGCAAACGGGCCTTGGAAGAGGCCGAAGAGCTCGTCGTGGATGAGTTCGGTCAGGTAGTGTGGGAAAGGAGATGGGAAGATCGGGCCATTTCGGCATGGATACCAAGTCCGAATAGAATATGTCACACAGGGTACATCAGCCTCCAACAGACTGAAACCCTGACTCGCACAGTAGTCACCAGCTTAACAGTCACAGAACCTTCCATCAGGTTCTAGTTTGTTCACTCGCATCGCCTATAAAGATGCAGCCCATGCTACGCTCTAGATAGAAGTTAGAAGAATCAAGAGTCTTCCAGTCCCTGATCTTTATGCTCACTTGCTCATCCTCCGTGCGATAGAATATCTAGGTTATGCCGAGACAACCCTATCTTCGCTCCTTTGCCTTGTACCAACAGCAATGACTAAGAGGATCCGAACAATAGGAAGTTCTTGAAAAATATCAACGGGGTTGTTGTTGACTTGATATGAGACATGGACCAAGACATGTTTAGGCAGCACTTACAAGTGGTGAGTCACTGGATAGTGGCACGGACGTGCCACTATGTATATATGTATGTTGAGAGCTGTCAGACAGAATTGAATAGAAGTAAGTTCAATCGCAACAGTTGTTGCCTCGGCGATGGGCTCCTGCGTTTTGTATCATTTTTCGCGCAGCGCGTTAAACAAATGTTTTGAAAGCCAAATAAATTATCGCTGCCATTTCTTACCCGACAGATGGCTATTTACCTTCGTTCAATTAGTCTCTAGTATCACTTCTTGGAACTGAGAATTATGGGGTGGAATAAGCCTAATAAAGACAGGCCAGGCCGTTGGCCCGCTTCCGTCGCTGGGCCCAACTACTGATTTTTGCCTCGGTGTCATCCTTGTTTCCCACCACCACCCGTGTCTGGTCCCAACGGCACCGCTTTTTTAGATGTATTTGGAGTAGGGGAAGGAAACCCGCCGTCCTCTCCGGGCTCATCCCTGCTAAAGTACGGTTCCTTGCAATAGTAGCGAGTCCGAATTGGCGATCTCCTAAAGCCTTACGACGCTGGAGAGAAGCGTGAGGTTCTTTTCGTTTGCGCTCCGTCGTGAGGAAATTCCTCAGAATATCGTCGTGCTCAACGGCCCAAGTGCCAAGCTTCTCAGCCTCGTCATGCCATAACGCAGGCAGGGGTCCTGCGCGGAGGGCTTGTAGAACTGTTGGATGAACTGCGCAATAATGTCGCTGTCACATTACTAAGGATTAAAGCGATGGTGTTGAACGTTCTAGATAACAACGTCACCTAAGCAGCCTAGGTGGCAAGTGGCAACATCGCCACCTAAGGCAAAACAAAGCACTACTGGTATAAAAGCAAACTTCTTACCATCATTTAGACAGACAATCAATAATCCTTTTTCACCCACTGCAACCTGTCAGTTTTAACTGACAAGAACGAAAGCGAAACCTGCGCGACGGCGGTGCGGTGAGGTATCGTGTCGTCAACATCCATTGCGTCTTGATCCGGAAGGGTCTGAATGCGACACTATAGTTAGTTAGTAGCTTGTTTGGTTGAAACTTCACGTCCTGCCAGTTCGGAGCAGTAAGGCGTTGAGAAGCAGGAACGAAAAAGATACAAAAGGCTATAAGCCTGCAGCGAAGAGCCTGGTGATGGTCCCTGCGAGGCCAAGTGTCTCGAAGATGCGAGGTGAGTCTGCCAAGTCAGCCTAGCGTACACTAACAACTGACACAGACGGAGATCGGGAGCGTACAGTAGGTAATAATGTTGACGCCGGGGAAGTTCTGGCATACCAAGAGCAACATGCCAACGGAGACGCGGTTACCCCCTTTGGAAGGGGCGCTTAAACATCTCGTGGAACGTCATGCGGTTCGCCGTGCGCTCCTCGACCTACTGGTGGATCTCGGAGAGCTCGCCTCGGATGTATTGGGGGTCGGCGGGCAGGGCGCGGAGGCCGACGAACACTTTCTCTGCCTCTCCCCAACGGTCGTGGTTCGCCAGCCATCGCAGCGATTCGGGGCATTTCAGCATGCCCAAGAGAAGGAGGGCACCGCGAACGAGCCGCAGGCCAAGGAACGATCCACTGGGCGGCCTTGAACGAGGAGGTCACAGGCGCAGTTGATCTTTGACGTGTCAGAATCACCACTGCCGCTCTGTGCTTTGCTTTCCTGAGTCTTACCCAGAATCCTAGCATGTCACCTCCCTGAGACGTAATCTCCGTCTCCGCAATATACACGGGCACAATCAGCGGCGATGCCCTGATTCCAAGACCGGCAACGGCACATCCGACAATGAGCATGGCGAGCAAGCCGTTGCCGCCGTCGTGAACACACCGCCGGTGACGAAGACAGTCGCGGCGACAAAGATGGCCTTTCTCCGACCAAATTTTCTAGGCGAGTGGGAAGGTCAGCTGCGAGCCGAAGAAGAACCCGGTTTGGAACGTGGACACGATGTTGCCTCACAGAGTGTCACGATACGTGCCCAACGCTGAGAGGAGACCAATGTCGAGGCGGAACGAGTCTAGAGCCATGGTGTCCGAAATAACAGACGTGTCGTAGCCCACTGATGGATGCATTGGTACGTGCGGAATTGTTAGCAACACTCTTCAGGCGCGCGCAGTCTTAGGCGAATTACTGGCGATGGCGGACATGGAGGCAATGTTGGCCATCATATGGATGCACCAGTTGCGCACACTCTTCGGGTCGTTGGTCTCGCCGGTGTGGAGGTCGAAGCCCATGCTTGCCTGATACCTTGCGGGCTTGGGAGTTGGAGTGGAGAGGTACTAATCTGGGACTTCCTATAGAGAGGGACTGTGGGTGATTGTCAGTGGGCCATCCAGTCTCGGTGGCGATGGATGAGGTCATATAGTGCAACCTCGTGGAGGTTCATGCCTCTGAGTCGGTGTCAGGTCGGAAGAAGAAGGTTCTTCTGTCGTCGTGTCATCCGCTGGCGTGGGTGAGATGGACGGGCCAACCTAAGACCCGGCGACCTTGGACGACAACCATGTCGTGACACACTCTGATAATCCTTCAGGTCGAGTCACTCTACGTTTGGGGTACATCCGAAGAACGAACTGAAGCCACCTTGCTTCGTCAAGACCCAGTTCGTCGTCCCGTCCCCCGCGGAGGCCCGTGGGGCCTCAACGAGGGGAAGTATAGCAGCCCGGAGGGGGTTCGGAACTGAGGATTGAACCTTGTGTGGCAAAATAAAACTATGGAGGGATTGGGCCGGCTCCAACTCCTCTCAGACGATGCAATGGAATGCTGGTGAACCCAAGTGGTTCGCGGATGATTGTAGGGCCAAATTACCAGCTGTCGCACAAGTTCGGGGAGAAGGTTGGGTACAGAAAACGCGGGTGTCACTCCTAGACACTTCCGCCGATCATGGATGCCTAGGTTCCTGTTACCGTACCTGCGGCCGATTCTGGCTTCACAACAGTGCAGCAAGTCCTCTATCTTAGGCGACTGACAGCACCCTCATTTCTGGCTGCTTGGTAGTACTGAGCTATAAGGACTGCACCCCTTTTTGATAAGCAACATTGTCTTCACTGCAGCCAGAAAGTGAACTGGCGCCGAGTAGCATTGCTGCCCCAAACCAGACAGCAGCGGAAGGGTGTAGGAGCGACACCCCAACTCGTCTCTACAACAGTTGGTAATCCGGTCATGCCAACCACTCCGCCAATCTCTTGGCTTCACCATCACTCTATCGTGGGGTTGCAACAATTCTCCGCTATGACCAGCGCGTCATTCTCTTGCCAATCCATCCGAAAGCTTGCTTGTCAGTCGCACCTCGTCGACATCCCTGGCCGTGTTCGCGGCCGCCCCTTGGTCTTTGGAGAACCTGGAGTGGATTGATACTGTTGATCCGCGCTGCGGCAGTCCCTGACGTCGCCGTGATCAGCAGACGATTCGAAAGGCTCCACCTACTGAACAACTCAACGAATGCCTCGATGATTTGCGACTCACCGGTCCCGCCCTCGAAACCGCCGACGAACTGGCAGAACTGGTGGCATATGATTGAGAAAGCGATCGACTGCGTTTTGTCAGCCGTGTTGCCAACTCTCTGCCCGTCGCCGAGAAAGGGCTGATAGGCCAAATTGGGCTTGCATTCCCGCCTCTGCGTCGTCTGCGGTCTCATCGAAGTCAAGTCGGCCGTCGCCATTTCGACATCGTCCTCCCGTGGCCGGCCATGACTCTCCGCGATGCAGCGCCGCAGCGCGGCGGTCGCCTTCCCGGACCACGGTTATATCTTGTAACGGTATGCCATGGATCATCCTCTCCTCTCCTTCGAAGCACTCATCTGCTGCGACTTGATGGCCCTGACCTGATTTTGCGGTGGTAGTGCGGCCCCGGAAAATACCCGCCCCTACATACTTATCCGTCTCGCCCCACGTTCGGGTGCCTCCATGGCGTAGTGGTGACACGTCTGGAGCCTCTGCGTCGCAGAAGGGTCGGTTCGAAGCCGGCTGGAGGCACCCTGGTGAAACAGGGCACACCGGGTTCCCGCCCGTCAACAGGGAACAGCGTCATGAGAAAACACAATCGGCGTACCAACCACCATCAATGACTAACACAACCACGCTTCAACTTCGACACATCGCGCTTCAGTTGCTGGGAATAGGATGCTGAACACTTGGAGAAATTGACCTTCAAGCAGGTCTGTCATGGAGCAAAACAGTGGTACGGTTGGCGCAGCGTAAGATGATCTGTGGGGCTTGGGGAGTCAAGGAACAAACGTGCGGAACTGTACTCTAGACTGTGTAAAGGCCTTATAGGGACCTCCCTCCGGGCGAAATAAATCCTACCTACCTACCACGTTCGGGTAACCACGGCGGGCTCCAGCTCGGCCGTCGAGCACAGCACGGATTGTTGGAACCGACAGAGCTGTTGCATCATCGCCATGAGCTCCGGCGACTTAGCCGCCATCTAATTCGAGTCCACTGCACCTCGGACAACGTCGATCAGCCGCGTTGCGTTTCCGATGCTGTTAGACTGATACATCACTGTAGATTCTGCGCCCGCATCGTCCGTCCCCACGTGTCCGACCGTCGGATGGCCATCTCCGGAGGAGGATGCCCATCGCTTGGCGTCGCGTTCTGCGTCCTCGGCTGGTCGTCGAAGCAGTTGCACGTTATTGATGAGACATCCTATTCTCGGAGCCAGCGCCTTTCGCGCCCGCGCCCGGATGCTGTTGATGTCGCCCATTTCTTCGCACAGGAAGAACTCCCATGGTACAAAGAAGTTAGCGCAAGCTGCTGCACGGCTGCCTTTCAATGGTGAAAAAATTGGGATCTCCATATCCGCCGGCGAAACGGTTTCCGCACAATCCCCGATGACACGAATCCTCATCGTCGTGGGCAAAGTCCCTGCTCAGGTATTTGAAGGCGGACGGTGGCCTGCTTTCCCGGCCGCCTGAGCACCTGAACCCAACGTCTTCCTGGCGGTCGCCCATCCTCGACAGGGGCCTCTCCCCAACCTGCACAGCTCCCGTCGTTGCTATCGCGTTTGAGTCTGACGAGCGATACGTAGTCGTACAGGTACAGGCCTAGCAGGAGCTCTCCACGGTGCTGATATGCCTTGACGTGGAGCTCCTGAGGCCTGCTTCTTCGACGACGATCGACCCATCCAGGATCATCTGCCAAGCCTCTCGCTGCGAGCCGTTGTAGAAGCCTGTTTTTGAACACTCCGTTATATGCGCCCTTACGTCGAAGCTCACAAGACCAAGCACTTTTCCCATTCGCCATGTTTTGTAAATGTTCTCTTGTAGGAGCACGAGAGCCTGCTCTGCGGAACCCCTCTTCCTGGCTCCAAAGCGGTTAGTAGGCAACAGCCCAAACGTTTCCATCGGAAAGGAAATCCGCTCGGCCATCACCGCCTCCAGAAGTGTCGCGAAGCACGTCTGAGATCTTGAGCTCGGGGTGACCATAAGGGGTATACAGCTAAGGGCCCCGACAGGCTAGACAGAAAGGCAGCCTGCAGAGAGTTCTGAGGCTGCAGAAGGCTATTAGGAGACCGCATTAGGCAGCCACACAAGCTGTAGAGAGACTGCATATACGGGTGAAGCTGAAAGAGCCCTCGGCGACTAGGGAAAGTCAGTATGCAAAGGGGGGGCTGGGGAAAGGAGCCCGGCCCCCTAGATATTGTACCTATACAACTGAGAAGGGGATATCAATAGGGAACCAAGGGATATAAATAGGGAGCCTAGAAGAGGGCATTGAAAAGGAGGACGCAGACACAAGGAAATACAACACATCACCCCTATTGTTACACAATCAATGCCCACTTGCATGCTCTCTTCGTGAGAAGAAGACTCCAAATGGGAGGGTCAAAATAGTGTGCGCCCGCGACCGGAACAGACTGCCACCGACCGACACAGTCGAACGAGCACGCCAAACCTCTAGTCGCAAAACGGGTTGCAAGTTCTCAATATTAGCTAAAGAGTCACTAGATGGACACACTTGGACTCTCAGCCATCGACCAGACAAGGAGTGCGCTGAGCACAACCACTCACCAAGCGGGGACCCGTCGGCACACCCAGTGCATCGCCGACTCGAAGAGCGCGACGCTACCAATATTTCAGATCTTGTGGCGTCTGGTAGTGCTCCTCGGGATATCATAACATACCTTCATAGCCATTCGAGTACTCTTGCCGGCCAACAAGACATTTATAATTGGATTGCGGCGACGAGAAGAGACCTACATCAAGGCCAGAGCAGCATCCAAACACTGGTTGGTCAGCTGCATAATGAGGGCTTCTGGTGCCGGGTTCGAAAAGATGTAGACAATCGTTTGACAGGCATATTTTTCGCCCACCCGGACTCTGTTGCATCGATGCGGTCGTATATCTGTAGGATTGTGCACTGGCCAGACTGTTGGCGTGCCCGCCTGATTACCTCCAATACCGAGCAGTTGCTCGTCATGATCGTCAAATCTCGGTGACGCAGTCCAGCTGGCCAGCGCCATTGCCACTGCCGCGATTTCTGCTATGTACGGGTTCTGCTCATCCTCGATCCGAGGGTGACCGAGTAGCTGGCCAGCACCTCGCTCGTGCTGTTGAGGCTAGTGTCGTGAACGACACCTCCTTCCTCTGCGAGCTGGAAGTGGCGACGACGATACCTTCCACGTCGTTTGGCTTGACCACCTGTATCTGATCCCGCTCGCCCACGACGCGGTCGTTCCGTGGTGCCAGAGAGTACTCGTGGATGATCTCCATTCGCTCTGTGTCTGACTCCGCGATCATCGAGGCAATCCTTCGCATCGACGAGACGAGTCGCTTGCTCGCTTTGACCTTTGATGATGCCAGAGGATGCGTCTTGGGGAGCGTCCGCAGGCCGATCTAGAACCTCGCCGCGACTTGACCGTGCCGTTCTCGAAACGATGCGATGCCGGCCTCAGCCTCGGCTATCACCGCTGCAACTGTGCCGGAGGCTCCCGTGACAGCCCTGTTCCCCAACCATCTGGGCCCTATCTAGCTAAGCCGCCTCTCTCACGCCGCACGTGTGCATCCGCACACTAGAGGCGGAGTGCATGGTTGGCGCTACCGTCGCGACAAACAGTTTTCTCGCCATTTGCAGGGATATCATCTTCAGTCTTCGCAAAGACATGCGGCCGTGAGCCGTTTGGCGGCCGCTCTAGCCATCTGCTCCATGGACCGGCTTTGTGCCCATGACCACCCCTAGTAGTTTCACGCTGCTCTTCGGTATGACCTCTTGTCCTTTGGTCATGAACGGTGTGTCGCAGGTGCGCTCCATTGCTCTTGTGAAGTGAATGACAGTCGTTTTGTCCGCTTCAAACGTTGCGCCGCTGCATCTTTCCCACTGGAGCGCTTCGGCAATGATTGATTGGATGCCCTCTCGGTTCGCCTCCGCCGTTGGCCCCGTCACCGAGGCTGAGTGAGTAGTCGTCCACCAACGCCCTCACACCGCCTTTGGCATTGATGCGTCTCTGCACCAAGTCTGCGTTGAAGAACAGCAACGCAATTGGCGACAATGGTGATCCTTGCGGCAGACCTGCTTGGGGCAAGACTCGTTGCTCGGACGTGTGCCCGCTCACTACCACTGAGGCCGTCCGTCCCGGAGCAGAACGCATCCCTCCAATCCACCAGTCTATCTGGTATCCCCCTCGCTTCATCCTCTCCAGCACTCGCTCTTTGCAGACCCCGTTGTACGCGCCTTTGATATCGAAGCTGGTCAGACTGAGCACCTTGCCAGTTCGCCATACCATGTAAGTCTGTTCCTGCAGGAGCATGGGTGCTTGCTCCGCTGACCTACGTTTTCTCGCCCCGAGGTGATTTGCGGGGAGGAGGCTACGGGCCTCCGCTGTGTAGGAGATGCGTTCCGGCGTTCCGCGACAACCGCTTCTAGGACCTTGCCAAGGCTGACAGGAGAGAAATCAGTCTGCGGCATGGAAATGTTCATCAGCGCTCGGAGCCGATGCCTGCGTCAAGAAGCACGCAAATAGAGCCGGAAAGTGCCTTTGTCGAGGCCGACAGAAATGATCGTCACTTTGCGCGTCTCTGCCAGGAGAGTGAGGAGACGTAGCGCATTTTGAACTGGATGGTACATTTACTAAGGTTAGTAGTCGCTTCTATCTACTGCAGGAAGACGTGCTGCTTACAAGGGGTGCCATTGCTCTACAAGTCACAGCATGCTTCAGCTTCGTACGACCTTTGTCGAGATGAGTGCTCCTCTGCAGTACAGTACTGTAATACGGGGCCTCAAAGTCGGCCACCACAGTCACGGGATTGGCGGACTTTGAGGCCCCTAGTATGTATTGCAGCGTGACACGCTCCTGCATCTCACCCCACTCGTGGGATGGTTGCCACACCCAGGCAGCTTAGATGTCCTCGTTCTGCAAGTCGCGACACTGCAGCCAAAATGCACTTCTACGTCCCCAGCCCCTCGTTCCGAAAGATATTATGCTGCAGGGATAATATGGCTGCACACCTAGGACGTATTTGGGCATGATACAGTAGCGTAGCTCCGGTGTTCTATCGAGGAAGGAGAATTGATAGGCGCCGTTTGCTGCGCCCCGCGCCAAGGATGATGGTCTCCGGTCAGCGATGCTGCAACCTTGAGCGACAATTCTGTGAGTACAGTAAACACACACCAGGCCCCGGCTACCCAGCCGCCGCGAACTCCCCGATCCAAATTGAGCGCCAACGTGCTCTTGTGTTGTCCGAGCTGGCTTTCAATGTTAATGTGCATATTTCCCTTTAGCCTGGTTCGCTACCGTGAGGAGAAAGGATCCAGCTTCAAAAGTAAAGTCAGTTAAGGATCATGTAGATATGTGGACTCCGCTTGGAGGCAAATGAGAGCGAAATTTTGATGCTGGGCTGGGAGGGCTCTTTGTACATACGAGCACTTTATGCACGTCTCGTGAGACGGCCAAGGTGTGCGTCTGAATAGAGCCGTCCCTAGCATATCGATCAGTATGTATGAATGATTCCGCCCAATGAGAACTGGGGCTCAGAACATTACAGATCCTGGACTGAGGTTATGATTAGTTATCACCTAGCCTCATTAGACGCTATGCAAAGAAGCGACTTCTTGGTGAACGGTTTAGACGGCAGGGCGGCGACCATAGCATCAGCAGAAGGTCTAAATAGTGTCCGTGAGAAACACGGGACAGCAAGCTTTGCCAAAGCGCAAGTATGGTAACATGATTGAGGTCATGCACCCAACGCGTCGCACAGACTATGGGTGATTCTGCCCTCAATGTGTCAAGTTGCAATTTCGTATCTTAAAGCAAAATGTTTGTGTGATCTGGACATGGTAGAAAGCTTGCATCGGGAATCTTTGGCATTTGCGGAGGGCACGAATGATACCTAATAAAACAATAGCCGGTGGTGACGGAGCCCGAACTGAAACGAGTGTATTTCACAAAGCCCTAACACGTAAAGCTGGCGCACAAAAGTTTTCGGTGTATGTTATAAACCTTATACTACTGTACTGTACGGCAGCTTGGCAAGCTCGATAGGCGGGTAAGCCATGGGTCTTCCATGTATCGCCAACTCGGACAAGCATGCAGCATAATGTTCAGCCGCTCAGCACTGGGCGTGGGAACGAGTGAAATCAGTGTCCTAGAAATGGTGGCAACTTAGTCATAAATGGTTTAGTCGATACCCTGCACGCAAGCTGGGTAAAGCCTGTCGCTGTTTCCCGGCAACTCAGGGCAGCCCAGGGCCTCAGGCGGTATTCCGGCAGCTCAGGGCAGCTCAGGCCCTCAGGGCAGCTCAGGGCAGCTCAGGTCATCAGGGCAGCCCAGGGCGGCTCAGGATCGGCTCAGGGCGGCTCAGGATCGGCTCAGGGCGGCTCAGGGTGCTTCGAGGGAGCCCAGGCTGTGCTCAGGAAAATGCATGTGCAGGTGAATTTCCGAGGTCCGTGGGGTAGATTCTGGTTGCTGTGTTGTGTAGGTGAGATATATCGAAGGATGATGCTGAAGCTTCGGGATTCTCGCTGCCAGCCCTTTTCGTGCTCGGGATTGGCTGCACGACGGCTTTGTCGGGAAGAGGTAAGATAGGAGCGTGCTTGAAGTAGCTATATAAAATACTACTTGGTTCGCCCTATGAATATTTGTCCATGTTATCCATCATGCTGTAAGTAGGAGGAGCGAGTTGGCCCTCAGTAGTTACTGTCGGTGGACTGGGGCAGCCCCGATAGGGATGGACCTGGAGAAGGGATTCCTGGCCTATGTATTAGGAACGCATGGGGACTTCATGAGTAAGGAAGGCTACCCCTTTATGCGTGGGCACAGCCACGTATGTGTGGGTAGAGCACCTTACTCAGGAGGTCCCCAGAAGTCCCTAAGACCTCGTGTATAAATAGCCCCTTCAGACTGCCCCTTTAGAAATAGAACATGCATCTTGAACCTAGCTGTGTGACCTCCTTATTCCGATGTGTATTGAAATAACATTTCACCAACAGTTACAGATGCGGTACACTATTATTCCTCACTCATTTTGCGCCACTGTTGTTTGACCGCCGACACCGTCCGATTGAGCTTGGAAGCGATCCAGGACTCCGACTTGTTCTCCTCTTCCATGCTCTTAGCCGACGTTCCTCTAGCGCTGACCACCGGCGGCGCTTGGCAAGCACCTCCTTTTACCGCTATTGACGATTAGAGGATCGTCCTCGTCGTCGCTACCAGAAATTCTATCATCACTCCCATTGCGATTCTCGTCGATAGGACTCAGAGACTCTGCGTTGGCAGGTACTCTGCGACTGCTCTCTGAGCCGTAGACCTTCCGCGCAAGTTGTAATGCCGCTTCAGGGTGTTGCTCACGGGTTGGCTATGCCTTGCCTTGCCCGAAACATCCTTAGGGAATGGGTTGGATAGTAAGGACAGTGCTTCAAAGAGAGCTGCACGAAAAATCGCGCATGATTTACATTGTCCAGATTGTTCCATCTCTTGCGGTCCACGGAACGATATTGCGGAATGGGGCCCATTTTGCAGCGACCGCTGTGTGCCGTCTAGGGGAGGTTGACTCGTCGTGGCAGAAGAGAAAGCAATAGGGTCAGAGCCAAAGCTTGCAGGAGAACTGATAAGGCCGCCCTGATGAGCCGCGGTTGGATAGGAGCCGCTCGTGGGATAGCGGGCAAGTGCCCTCACAGCCAATCGATTGTCATCGAGATTGTCGTCGTGACTGCCATTGATGCGACGAGTCTCCAATAGTCGAGGGCCCTGGTCTTGAGAATCAATCCCATCGTCGACTGGGATCGAGGCAATATCGAAAACACCTGGTTGATGCAGCAAAGTGCGAGGTTCAGCCGCGGAGGATAACCTTAAACGTTTTGTTTCCTGTTGATCATCAGCGCCACTGCCATGATGGCTGTCCCCCAGTAATCGCTTCGTCCTGTTGAATATCGGTGCGATGACGTGCTGTTGACCTTCATTCAGCCAATGCTGAAAGCCCGCATCGTCATTAAGGGGGCTCTTCAGAGAGAGGCTCTCAGCATTGGCGGGTGCAGGAGCAGATGCGCTCGAGCCCGGCGAGGAAAGAGGGGAGGAGTAGTGAGGACCTCTGAGTTGGTCCATACCGAGCCTTGAAAGATCCACCGACTGCTTGGCAGTACCGGCTTTGGGCCAGGTCAACGCTGTCTGGATCAAATTGTCATCGGCAACATCTACCGTAGGGCCCATCACCGCTGCCGGAGCGGCTGGGTCTATCAGCGTTGGAGACTTCTCAGTGGCCTTGCTATCCCCCTCCTGGATATCTTCCACCCGTACGATGGAACCTGAATAAAATTCTGTCAGTCCCGCGAAATGAACAGTGTGGCAGGTGGTGACTACCTGATATTGCCTGAGGATTGTCCGCTGCAAGCTGAGCCGCCACAGGCTTCAACGCACTGCCGAGGTGTTCGTCGACTTCTTCGCCACCAGAATTGGAAGCATAACACCTGTCCATGGGGTGCGAGACAAACTGCATGTCATCGGACCAATTGTGGCCGGACCAATCGAGTGCCATCACGACTTCCTGGTCTTTGAAATGTCAGCAGGAATTTATCTCCAGTACGATTTCCCTTCAGCGGCATACCGTTCATCGTCAACAAGCCTTCTGCATTATGCTGTGAATATTGGCCTTCGCCGCAAGTTTCTAGTAACGTGGCATCATGACGACGTTCCTTGGGCGCGAGATCTGGGTGTTTTTTCTTTCGCTGCCTTTGCGGCAGGGGAACATATGGTTTGAACTTCAGGGGAGCGGCCATGATGTTTGGAGACCAGATGCGTGCGTAGTCTGTACTAAAGGTATGAGAAAGGGGGAGAGGAAAGCTGAGGTGGGAAGCCTTCCCTATTTATTGAGGGGGGCAGTTGCCCTCTCGCGGCGCGTCAACCAGATACCCAGCAGCAAGGGACTTTGAGCTGAGGTCGGACAAGTCGTCCTGCAAACAATTCCATCGCCGAGAGGTAGGAGCCGCAGGATCGAGACCGTTCCATATCAGTCATCCCCGTCAACCCCTCTGTCACTGTCCCTGAAGGTTACTAAATTTGGCTCCGACGATGGTCAGCTCTCGGAACAACAGGGGACTAAATCGACCTTCCGTTCCCGCCTGAATCCAGCTGCAACGCACGACCAACGGCGGAGTCTGCAGCGCTGCAGCTACTTGGACTGGCAGGACCGGCGAAACGAGAGATTCGGGCCGACCGATTCGCAAGGCAGAATCCATCGGCGCCGCTGGTTGCACCTCTTGGGACCCCTGACCGCTCACGTCCCAACACTTTCACAAGGGTGCGAACATGGACATCAC